AAATATCGGCATATCGGATATCGGCCAAAATCCCAATATCGTGCATCCCTAATTTTTTGTATTTTGTATTTTATCTATCTAGTACTAAAAGTTTTTTTGGCACCAATTAAATATGATGGGAAAAAAAACATGGTGTTTCAGCAGCCTTTCGATTATTACCTCACATTCGGCGGGCGCTGCCCCCCACTTAGCAACCCCAGCCAAGCCCAGCCCCTGTATAAATACCCAAGCCGAGCTCTGGAAGCTTCGTTATGTGAAGAGGAGCAGGTCACCTGGTTTAACTGCAGTATGCCCTAAACAATGCCTGCTGGAAAAGACAAATGCTTTGGTGTCGGCTGAAATAAACAACATGTGTCCTTGCACGTTCTCCCATTCTCTGAGAGCAGAGCTATGTGCTTCATTTTGTTTTTGATGGCAGTGTCTCAGCCACATTACCAAAGGTTATTGTAGTTTTTATGATCAACCTTCTGACATCTGATACCTGTGTTTAGCCTACCTTTTAAGGAGAAGGGGGCGCCTTGGAGCACCTAAGGAGCAATCTAAGGGCTTAGGATTTTCCTCAGGGACCCAGATGAGTAGATCTGGGTTTTAAAATCACACCCCTAACCCTGACCTAGAACTCATGGGTACAGCTATGCTTGTCTTACAGATTAGGCCACAACAGAAGGAACTGAGCTTTTCCTTTTCTCCAATATAGGTGGTAATCCTAGATCGGTGTTTCTGCTTTTCTTTTGGGTGTCTGCTTTGCTCAAACCCCTGGTCAGTGATGACAGTTGACCGTTCACACTCTGAACCCTGGAAGTCGATTTATTTTCTTAAAAATAAAAACTTTGTATTGTCTTTTGTCACAAAACAGTTTATCTTCATGATTTGACTGAGCTGACTCTGCATGTGTCTTCACATGATGTGTTTTAGACTGATGCTATACTAATAAAACGATTAAATTTGATCGGTTTAATTGAAGGTAGGCTTAATTGTCCCATTTCCAAACCAAGAAAAATATCTTCTACAGCTCATGGTAAACTGCAGGTAAACAGATACTTCCTTATTTCTTGGAGAACTTTATTTTACAATATTTAATACCTTTAAAGTAGTGTTGTCATGTAGCAATATATAAACTAGGGCTGGGCAATTATTTGCATTTGCAGTTTAATTGAAACTTAACAAAGATGATTTTAAAATTGCACGTCACATTAAATTTAACAAGCTAACACCTTAAATCTCTCCCTCCAGCCGTAAGGTGGCAGTGATACGATTAAAGTGGGTCTGCAGACACACAGAAGAGAAGAGAGTTGCAGCTAGCACAGAGAGCCGTGCATGCAAGTTGTAGAAAGTACTTTTTCACACAAAGGTTACAGTAACGTCCCACAACAATGAATTCTGGACAAGTAAGCTTACAAGGAAGAATGAAGGGTTTCATTTTTCTAGGCTTTCATTTTTTTTCATGAAGAAAAATGAAACCCTAGAGTGAAACGTGTACATGCTTGTGGTTGGGGCAAAGAAAAATTGAAATAAAACCGCACTCACATTATTAGTTAAAATAACTTTTCTACTTCTACTCCATGCCTTTCATGACATTACCTCGTTGTTAAGAAGGGTTGTCTAATTTAGACCTAAAAAAAGGATTGCAAGTTTTGTTTATTTCCAAAGCATTATTATGAAATAATGAAAAAATTACCTTTGTTGTCGCTATGTCATATATTATCCGGATGTGTCAACTGTTGGACCCAGGAAGCTACATAGGATTACATTTACTAAGTGTATTTCTTTCCTATAAATAATATACTTTAATTATTATTTGCTGGGGGAATCAATGCTTGGATAATTTTTTTTGTTGTCGCTCTAAAAATGTAATTTTTATGTCATTAACTAGAGATGGAACGGTTTATGAAAACCGTCTGAACCGTTCGGTTCGGTTCGCGTGTGTTGCGTTCGGTTCATCCGCTGCTCCTTTTTCTCATCGGCGAAGCGTTTACACTCCAGAGCAGAAGGTGGCGGTACTGCGACCAAAGCCAACCACCAGTAGTAAACAAGAAGAAGAAACGAAGCAGCGTAGCCTGGTGTAGCAGAAAAAAATCAGTAGTTGTGGAGAATTGTGTGGGTATGGCGAGTGGGAAAGAACAGGAGTTGGAAGACATGCCAGCAGCACTTTATAGGTCTGCTGTATGGGACCACTTTGCATTTAGAGTGACCTACGATGACGGCGGAAAGAAAGTTGTGGATAAAAGTGCAACAGTGTGCAAACATTGCGCAACATGCGTTGTTTATTCTAACAGCAACACGACCCACATGTACCGAACCAAACTGAAAACCGTGACCACGAAACCGTGAACCGAACTGAACCGTGTATTCTGTGAACCGTTCCACCCCTATCATTAACCTATTATTATTGAGCTCTCATATAAAGTGCTAAATAATGAACAAAATGCTTAGATACTAATTTTCAAAGTAGGCTTTAAACTATCTGTCTGCTACGTTTATCTAATGTGAAATGTTAGTTTATGTCTTTACATAGGATTTATTTTACTAGCTGTATAAATGTCAAAGGCTGAATCATTGCCATCTTTATTTAAAATAGTTTACCTGCAGTAAAAATTACATGTATTTAAGGCTTGTTTTCATACATCTCTATAAGAGAGATAAAAGTGGAGGGGCTGTAACAGAGGGTTTTCTGCTTTTGTTTTATTAGATGGTTTGACTCAATTCAGCATATTGAATTCAGACCATAAACTCCTTTTAAGCTCATGCTGTTAATATTTCTTTTCTTATCGATGATGATTAAGAGTATGAACATGCAGACGTTAAATGTTATTGTGTCTGGGTCAGTTTGAATAGGCCAATATTTGCGGTTATTGTTTCCGTTGGATTAGCTACTCTAACACATCCTTTCTCTGAACAAACTTCTAAGACTTACAGAGGAAAAAAAATGCTGATGTTTATTTACTTAATGCCAATCTTGGCTATATCAGTTGCCATCTGTGCTGTTATTATGTTTGCACTAAAAATAATTTTCTCCGTCCGTCTCTGGGAATCATTGTCTTGAAATCGTTGGCAGGCAGTTCAGATGCTCTGCTTCACTCTGTATGTCCACTATCTCAGAGTTATGTTTGTTCTGGTGAGACCAATAAACGACCAGTGTCAGTTACACCCTGATAATAAGCAAGAAAGCTCTTTCGATCAAGCGTCCACCCAGAGACATGAACAAGTAGTGTTCTCTTTGCTGTGTCCCAAGACATTCAGGGGCCCCTGNAGGCAGTTCAGATGCTCTGCTTCACTCTGTATGTCCACTATCTCAGAGTTATGTTTGTTCTGGTGAGACCAATAAACGACCAGTGTCAGTTACACATCGATTCAAAGCAAGAAAGCTCTTTCGATCAAGCGTCCACCCAGAGACATGAACAAGTAGTGTTCTCTTTGCTGTGTCCCAAGACATTCAGGGGCCCCTGCGGCTCCTCTCACCCCCCCAGCCGGGCCCCTTTAATGAGGACTGTCCCCGGTGTGTTTGATCCGGCTGCCAGCTCGCAGCCCCGCGGCCCCTCAGCCTCATGCCTATTCAACAATCCCCTCAGCCTCTACAGTGACTCCCCCTCCCTCCCACTGCCCTGGGTACAGTATGGATCCAAAGCAAAAACACTTCTGGGGGCCTCTTTGATATCAAAGCTAGCTGCAATGATATTATGGAGAAGGAAGGAAAACCTCCATGACTCCAAATAGCTCTCCAGGTGTAAATTGATGTTTTCCAAAAAGAAATTCCTCCTTAAACCGTAAAAACCTGATAAGATGTTTGCATTTCTAAACACTGAATCATTCATTTTGTTTTGGATGGTCTTGTGATAAAAGCAGATCCAGTTTCTAACAGAGAACTTCTTGTGTTGCTGTTCAGGATGGAGGTCTGCTGATTAACAACCCAACAGCTCTTGCGATCCATGAGTGTAAGTGTTTGTGGCCCGACACGCCACTGGAGTGTGTCGTTTCGCTCGGCACAGGACGCATCGAAACCGCAGGCAAGACCAGCGCAACATATACGAGCCTCAAGACTAAACTTACCAACGTCATCAGCAGTGCCACCGACACTGAGGGTAAGTGCTGCAAAAGGTTAATTGAGTCTTTGAAAAATAAAATGTAAAGGAAACTTCAGAAGTGTTCCACAGTAGCAGTATTTTTTACACGTGTCCTCTACAATATGATCAATTCATTTTACTTATGCTCTTTATTAGATTCAATACTAAATCTTCAGTCTGGTCTATAAAAAAAAAAAAAGGACCAAACTGCAATTTTAAAACATGAAAATACTTTAAATAATAATTTTAAAGCAAACTTTAAAGCACATACAATTCTACATTATATTTATGGTTTAGTTGTGTTATGTTTATAATATCAGTCAATCAAAATTTATTTATAAAGCGCTTTTCATACAATTAATGAAGTTTAAATAGCTTTCCACAATTAAAAACCTTACCCCATTGCCCTCCAACATAGAAAACAGATAATTACCCTCCTACCCTCCCCCCACCCCATCACAAAGACATACACACACACCCAAGTACAGAAACATGATTCAAAGAGCTGTCTGCATTAGGGATGGAACAGTTTATGAAAACCGTCCGAACCGTTCGGTTCAACTGTCTCGGTTCGATTCGCATGTGTTGCGTTCAGTTCATGCGCTGCTCCTTTTTCTCATAGGTGAAGTGTGTACACTCCAGAGCAGAAGGTGGCGGTACTGCGACCAAAGCCAACCACCAGTAGTAGACAAGAAGAAGCGAAGCAGCGTAGCCGGTTGTAGCAGAAAAAAATCAGAGAATTGTGTGGGTATGGCGAGTGGGAAAGAACAGGAGTTGGAAGACGCGCCAGCAGCACTTTATAGGTCTGCTGTATGGGACCATTTTGGATTTAGAGTGACCTACGATGACGGCGGAAAGAAAGTTGTGGATAAAAACAGTGTGCAACACGTTTTGTTTATGCTAACAGCAACACGACCAACATGTCAGGCTAACAATCAACATATACCGAACAGAAAACCGTGACCACGAAACCGTGAACCGAACTGTGGATTTTGTGAACCATTCCACCCCTAGTCTGCATTGGGGCAGCAGATCAAGTACAGACACCAGGAGCCCATTTGAGGTTTAGAATCATATGCTAAAGAAATAAGTAACAAAATAGTTGTATATTTTTAAAAGAGATAAAAAGGATATTGAATAAATATAAAATGAGCATATAGTGTTAAAATTCTACAATAAATAATTGTAGATTAAAAAAAAATAAGCTAAGCTAAAAAGGTGGGCGATGAGTCTGCTCTAAAAACCTGAACTTCCTCTGTGACCCTGAGGTCCTCAGGCTGTAATACAGAAATAACACGTCACTGTGGGTATGTGTGCTGACTTTAGGGATTACAAGGAGTCAGAGGAGGTAAGGTAAAAGCAGTTTTGAAACATAAAAAGGCCCAATACCATTAAGATACTTGAAAACCATTAAAAGACACTTAAAATTGATCCTGAAACTCAAGGGGAGCCAACATAGTGATTCTGAAACAGGTGCTATGTGCTCCTGCTGTCTTGATTTTCATCAGAAAGCATGCAACTGTTTGTTTTTTTTTTTTTATTAAAAAAAGGTTAAATGCTGTAAACCTGATATATACATTTCTGGAAGACCACCAAGCAGGGCATTGCAGCAGTCAATGCGACTGGTGATTAAAAACATGCACCAGTTTTACCAGTTTGGCTGAGAGAGAATGGAGCGGACTCTGACAATGTTCTTTAAATGATAAAAGCCTATTTTTATCATGTTTTTGATGCATGGAATACAAGTTAGCTCAGAATTAAAAATGATGTTCAGGTTTCTCTCTTGTGTGGAAGAAATTAAAGACATTTACTGTAATCGAGGTCAAAATTTCTCTCTAAGGGTAACAGGACCAACAAATAAAACTTCTGTTTTGGCCTGGTTTACCCAAAGAGAGTTTTCTGTTAAATCTAGGATTTAATTTTTAAAATGCAGTGAAAAGGTGCATCCGTTAGTCCTATGTCACCTGGAGAATCTGAGATATATAACTGTTTATCATCAGCGTAACTGTGAAAGTTAACTGTGCCTCCTGATGACGCTGCCAAGAGAGAGATAAAAGACTGTGTGGTCTACTGCATCAAAAGAAGCAACACTATCATTTTGTTAGAATCATAATTTACTATTTAATCATTTAGAACCTTTAAAAAGGCCGTCTCATTGGGGTGGTTTGTTCTAAACCCAACAAACAACAAGGTGCATAAAAGCGAGTTTTTCTAAAAAATCTTACCTAAAAAGGCAAGCACGATACCAGTCTAAGATTGTTTAAATTGTTAAAGATCACTCTTCTCCAGCAGCGGCAACAGTCCTTCCCTTTTAGAGGCAGCAGGATAGACCCCCATCTGAAGAGAGCAGTTAGAGATGTTCAAAATCTCGCCCATTAGGGTTGGTAAACAGTATAATTAAAGAAGGATTTTGGGAACAATGGGATTTTTGTTAAAAAGCATATTGACTTAGAGGCCTCATGTGATTCGGAAAAGTATAAAACATTGGGTCAGTGTGTTATGCTTTGGAAATATTGCGACTTATGTTGGTGTGAGACGACTATTTTGTGTTAATAAAGATCTCCCACATGATGGCTCAGAGAGACAGAAAAGCTGTGTGGAGTCATTCATCAAAGAATAAAGATTTCTTTGATACGTGATTCTTTCGTTCAGGACAGAAGGGCTGAGGAGAGTTGATAAGCAGATGGATGAAGCTAAATACATGAGATTGCTGGAGGAAGACCTTTTCAGTTCTGCAAAAGATGTGTGATTGGAGTCAGAGGTTAACCTTTCTGCAGGACATGAAACCTTAGCAATCAAGAGCTAATGTCTTAGAAAGGCCCAGTCAAAATCCAGACCCAAATATATTTGGGAATCTGTACTAAGACTTATAAATGGCTGCTTTCTGAAGCTCTCTATCCAATCTGACTAAAGTTTAAGTCCAATTATCCCAAATGACTGCAGCTGTAACTGCAGCATAAGATGGTTTTTACAAAGTATTGACTTATGGGTGCCGAATCATGCTAGATTAGAAAAATCCTCTCTTTTTCCTTCCATCTCAATATTAGGGGTGTAAATAATAATCGTTTTGTATCGATGCATCGATCCAACAGCCGACGATCCGATGCATCGATACGTCCGCAAGAGTATCGATTCATGTTTTTTTTTCCTTTGGTCTATTTTTATCCATTTGCTCCTGGGTGTAATTCTCCTCCCGTGCTGCGGTGGGGCTAAACCTATTTTGCCCTCCTACCGCGCTTCCTGGTTATACTCTTACAGCAGTGTGTTGCAGTGAGCTTGACACAGACATTTTTGATTTATATCCAATATTAAAGCGTGGTCTGTGCTATACGCTGTGGGGGGTCGATATGGTCGAGGCGGTGAGAAGGTGGGGGCGAGTTTAGTCCGACGACGGAGGGACATGAGGGCCAAAAAGAGCGGAGATCCAGGTGGAAAAAGGGTCCCAGCGTTCTTTCGCATCTCGCTCTTTTAGTGGGTCAAACTTTACGAGTCGTTTTCCGCAATTTCGGTCATAAAAAGAAAAACAAGCCGGCCTCCTGTCTGCGGTCAGCTACAATTTGGGAGAGGTGCAGCGGAGCGTCTGTGGAGGGGGCAGTAGCGTCTGGAGCCGAGGTATTGCATTGCACTCATTGCACTGATTTTGTGCAGTATTTTTTGATGCAAGGCCTTTATTATTTTTCAGTGAATGAGGTTTTAATAGGAATAGGTGGAGTACAACTTTTCCACTTCTTTTATTTGCTGTTGTTTCTTAAAAAAAAAAGAATAACGATATTACAGCTTTCATTGATTTATTTCAAATTTGAAACATTGTCTAGCCTGTAAGGTGTAAAAAAATAAATAAATGAACCAATTAATCGAATCGTATCGTGGTGTAGTCTTGAGTATCGAAAATAATCAAATCATTGGGTCAGAAAATCGATAATGAATCGAATCGCCATGATGGGTGTGATTTACACTCCTACTCACAATTGTACACTACTGTGTTGTCCTACTGTAGACGTGTCAAGTTGAAGGCCCCTGGGGAAGCATTTGGCCCTCAATACAGTTGTATCCAGCCCACAAGTTCATCCCTGAATACAGGATTAATGGCTCACCAGTAGTTTACACAGGGTTTACTTCTTTCACACTATATATCCCTTTATTCACTGCAACGGCTGCTCACTCTGGGCTTCCAAGTGCACATTTTTCTAAGAATTTTACTGAGCTTACATGGCGCTTCTTAACTTTGGACATAATCTGTAACAGGTGTGTAGTTAATAACTGAAATGTATGATCTCACATTGGAGAAATGACAGGGTTTCTGCGGGTCATTAAAAATTATTAAAAGTCATTAAATTATCATTTTTAAATTAAAGTTTATAAAAACAATTTATGTATTTGCGCGGAACTGCTTGCAGTTGATCGTAAAGCCGTATGTTCGGAAAAGAAGCTTGAGGCGAAGAAAAATCTAGAGAATGGGAAAATGCAAATTTCAACAAAAGTGGCTGGAAAACGAGGAATTCGGGACATGGCTGCAGCCTGTCGATGGTAGAGATGACGAAGGATTTTGCCGTGTTTTTTATATATATATTGAGAGAGAATCATGGGTGCTTGTTGATGGCATTAAAATGATTTCAAAGAGCATTAAAAGAGCTTTAAAAAGGATTAAATAAGAGTTAATCTTTCCTGTGTAAACCCTTAATTAACTCTCTGCATTTAACCCATCCCCTTGCGGAGCAGTTGGCTGCCATCGTGGGGCACCCGGGGAGCAGTGAGGGGTTAAGGGTCTTGCTCAGAGACCCGGAGTGGCAGTCAATCGGAGTGAGACCCTATGCCCTAACCACTATGCCGCCATTCCCCGCTCAATTGCCTTTGACATGAAGGGATCACTTGTATATATATATATATATATGTAAATGTTATACAACTGGAGTCTAAACGCACACCTTGGATATGTAGGGTTAGGTGAGGCTTTCACGTAGCCTTTCCCCTTCATCCCTAAGACGAAGCCCCATCGCCACTTTCAACCTGTTAAAAGC